AATTATAGCATATCGCATGTAGTTTGTTATTTCTACATGTACAAGGATATGTTTTCACATTAAATTTTAATAAACATTGCAAATGAATTCAGCTTGAAATATTCAGCAACATGTATTAATTAGCAATTTACAAATTTGGAAACAAGAAGAGGGCATGTTCTCACGTTTGTTAATGATATCAGAAAAAGAAAAAGTCATAATGTCACTTAATTGTAATTAAATATTGCGATTTTTTTTTTATTTTAATAGTTCCAAATGACTTTAAATACTTCAAAGAGGAATATTTAACAACAAGCAACCGTACAAAGATTGTATACGTTCAGTCATACATTTCGAAAGAGAGAAGGGGGGGGGGGGGTAACTGACCTTGAAATTGTAACTTCCTTTGCCCATCAAGACCAGTCTTAATATGATTATTGAATATATAATTCTAAACAACAACGCACCTTTCATTATGTATTACTTATCACGTAAACTGCTTCTCATTTGCAGGTGTATACATGCATATCATCTGTAACACATTGATAATTCATGGTGCAGGTGTTTAAATTGTCCAAAAGTTAATCTACATATACTATCTGACTATTAATTACAATAGACTTTTTGTAAAATTGCAAGCCGTGATTTATAAAATATAATCATTATATCAGAATAATAATGGTTTAACTAATTATATGTATCAAAGTATAAAGCATGTTGAGTAAGCGCATCTTGATATTAAAAGAAATAACAATAGTGTATTATTCTTCGAAAAAATTAATTACATGTGTTTATTTATTTTCACTGACTCGGTGGTCTATTAATATTTAAATTTATTTTTTCTCATATAGAAAAAAATCAAAAGGGATTGTTTTCGCGTCTGTTTCGACTCTTTTGCGTCTTCTTTGGAATATGTTAAGTCACTTCAACGGTTAAAAGCTCATCTCGACTGACCGATAAACATCATCCCTTCAATTCACCATTGTTTTATATACTGTGTTTGTGGTTATGTGCGCTTTTAATGAAATATAAATTTTATTTTCTATTTACCTAGTTTTGTGGCAAAGTTTTTGCACAGGCCACCTTTTAGTTTATACAAAGCATATTTTTTCAATTAAATACGAAAGAGCAAACTACTTTTTCGAGAGAAAAAAATTCATAGGTCATCCAAAAGTATCACAATTCTTTTGAAAAAGCAATATTTTCAACGCAAATTTCTCACAATTTAAAATTTTTGACGGTCTATCTAATTATTAACATGAATTAGTAAGCTTTTGACGTCATAAAAATTAAGAACATCATAATTATACAAAAGAAGTAATATATATAGGAGAAACATGACAGACGCGCGGAAGAAATACAGTAAAAAGTTCGTTAATGTCAAACATGGAATAAAGTTAATAAATGCTATTGCATTATTTTTGAATAAAATAATTTAGCTATAGCCTTCTTATTAAAAATAGTTCGTAGACTGAGGTTTCCAAGGTCATCATTATGAGTGGAAAAAAGTGTTAACACAACTGATAATTTCAAGATTATTTATTTTATTGTTCAAAGCAAAGAGGTGAGAAATTATTTGATATTTCTATTATTATAATTAAAACATATAACTATTTATATTCTATCTTTGTCTTTCATTAGATCTAAAAAAAAAAATATAATGCTTACATTGTACACATATGCACATCGATTTAATTTTTCAATAAGTTAAAAAGGAAAAAACAGATTGATACTGCTTATTGGCATCCAAAGTCGGAATGAAGCATTGCTAAATTGTATAATATAAAAAAAATAATAATACAAATTTTACGGTTAAACGAGAAACTTAGTAAACGGATTTGAAAATATAATAAATACGCAGGAAAAGATGGACGTTCTATGCATAATTGTGATTACAATACCTTACAAGTAAGATAGTTTTAACTAAAACATGTACATATGTAGTTTTGAAATGAATACATTTTTCCCCCAAAAAATTTGCTTGAAATTAAATTTGAAAACATATAGGATCTTGTATCCTATGAAATGTTCGTTTGTTGGCTCGTTCGTTGTAAAACGTCACTCTCGATCGAGAATTTTCAGAACACATATATTCAGACACCATCAATTGCCTGTGGACACCTTATATTAAGCATTCAGGACGAATCTTTTATCATCCAGCACCTACAGCGACACGGGGCCTGGCATTTTACGGTCTCATCCGAAGGACCTCTCTCCACTTCCCGTAAAGACCGCTCCTTCAGATGAGACTATAATGATTTTAGAAGTAAACATTTTATAATATTTCCAGTTTTAAGTTTTAAGACACTTTCAAGAAATCATTGAGTTAATTATATGACCCAGCATCATGAATTTAAATTTCCATAAAAATTTCAAAATTGTATTCAAAAATTTCAATATTGCAGTTTTTCTAAACTTTCAAGATACAGGGTAATTTTGAGAGTAGATTTACTTTCCTAGATTGCTGCATGTTTTGAACTATTTTTTTTTATAAATCGGATGACTCTCATTGTCACATTTTCAAATTAGGCGAAAACAAGATTGACTTTTCATGCTTCTTGAGTTTCTTAAATATAAAATTCAAACGTCTATGGATAAAGCAGAGAAATTATGTTAAAAATTTTCGACCGAATGCGGAAAGAGAAGAAACTCCTATATATATACCTTAACATTTGACACAGTTACTGGAAATTTTGACTGTCTTTTAGAAGGAAAGGTCACAATGTTCTACTTTCTTGTTCTGAAAATAGTTTAATGATTGTAATGAATTAACGAATTAGCTTAGTATTCTTATTATTTAGTTTCCCGGTTTATCCCATAAGTGGACTAGTCAAATGATAAACAAAAGATGACTGAAGCTTCGTGAAGATAGAAGTCGCATCTGCATTCAGACAGTTGAAGAGGTAATATACGTATTTTAGTCAGTTTGTTGGACGACAGTGCACTGCTACATGTACTTAACCTTAAATGCAATCATTTTCTTTTTAAGTTGGACAGCATGCAGTTCATGGGATTCTAAGCACATCTATACATTTACAATTATTCGTATAGGATATCGGTTGTCCTAGGTATTTACTTTAGAGTGAAGTGACACGGCAATTAATTAGTGTTCCAAAAACGGTAGCATAGATCACTAAAATTTTAAGCTGAATATCTATAACCAGTAATACAGTTCAGCCACGTAGCATCATTTTTGAAAGGGGGGGGGGGGCAGGGAAAAAAATTTTGTTTACTTACCTGAAAAAAATTGACAAGCATAAAAGAAACAAAAGTTTTCCCAAAGTCGAAAATCCTATTTCGTGGGGAAGGAGGGAGGGGGGTAGAGGCCAACTTTTTCAATACCAACTTCTTTCAGTACCAATTTTTTTAACCTACCATACTACATTTTCCTTATATCTAACAAAGTTGGGGGGCCAACTAATTTCCTACAGTATAAGCGATGTTGGGAAAAAATGCCCCCCCCCCCCTTGCTATGGGCCTGGTACTAGTATGACATTTTTTGTTGATAATTTTTCGAAAACATTTTACCATACATCTCATACAAAACATTGTGATTTATACCTTCTTAGCTCACCTGAAGCCATAGACTTAAGTGATCTTTTCAGATCGAAATTTGTCCGTTGTCTGTCGTCGTTGTAAACTTTTCACAATTCCATCTTTTCTCCAGACCTACTGGGCCAATTTTAACCAAAATGGCACTAAGCATCCCTAAGTATCCTTAGGTAAAGGGTAATCAAGTTCAAATGAATGGCCACATCATCCTCCAAGGGGAGATAATTATGAAATATTGAAAAATTAATTGCATTATTTAAAAAAAATTCTTCTCAAGATCCAACGGGCCAGGAAAAACGAAACTCGATCGTATGGAATCATTTTCAGGTAGTGTGAATGCAAGTTTGTGTAAATCATGACCCCTAGGGGTTGGTTGGAGCCACAATTGACGATCAAAGATTTACATTGGAATATATAGGAAAATCTTTTAAAAATATTCTTATTAAGATCAGCAAAGCTTTGATTGTTCAAATCATGACCCAAGGGGGGGGGGGGGGGGTAGGGTTGGGCAACAATTGACGATCAAACTTTTTCATAGGAGTATATAGGAAAATTCTTGAAAAATGTTTTTCTCAAGAACAGCAAAGCTACGATGTGACGTACATTTATAAATATGGAAGCATCCTCAGGCATTGTGGATTTAACTTTAATTATGGCAAAAATGGATTAAAACGGACATGAAAGGAATAAATTCAAAAACGAAGATGAAACGTGAAATAAAATATTCATTTCATGGGTCTAAAGGCTTTGAAAGCAAACAAACGATACTTTGTCTTAATCGACAAAAAAAATATTGAATTTGAAAGTACAAGGTCAAAGACAAAGATCACAAGTTTATATATTGCATACAGAATCTTCAGTTGATTACTTCACATAATCAGTTTCTTTATTAAATCTTAATCCCGACTAACTTTAATTACGACCAAAAGCCGACAAGTCAAAGACTTTCTTCCTTTCTACATGCATCAGCATATTTTCCCAATTTCTTCACCAGTATTTTTTCCTCAAGCGTAACAAATATCACTGTTTCTTTTATAATTCGCACATTTGACTAAAATGATAAAATGCTTCTTTTTCATCGCAGAATTTAGATTTAAAAAAAAAAAATAGGGGAAATTCTGAAGGGTAATTTTTTTTTTACTGACCCTTCACCCTTGAAGATTCTAAAATAAAACCTGCATATCTTGTACGAGGCATAGCCTTCTAATGAAGGAGATTCATGTTTAAATATTGGATCAATAAGCGTTCGTACCATTAATTAACACATGTCATATTTGTTCAGCTACCATTAGAATGCGTAGAAAAATGAAATACTCATCTTGTCTTTTGTTTGCTGTCGTCAAAGGTAAGGATATGAAAAGTTAGATATAATATTATCGTTTCTTTTACTATTTTCACTCAAACTTCATTTATTTTATTCATTTGATTTCAATTTTAACATTCATTTTGTAGAATGTGTCGGGTCGCTTTTTTGGCACATTGTTCCCCGTATGACCGATAGGGCTATTACGGAGATTCCATTGGAGTCCCACCTAAAATTATCTGCGACATCGTGTGCCTTGCAGTGTCAGACCAGAATAGTCTGCAAACTATTCCAGTATAATAAGATAACCAAACAGTGTGATTTATATGACGGAGAGGGTTATAAGGCGGTAGAAAGAGAAAATGAGAACCGATTCTATCAAAGGATGCCTGATGGTAAGTTGAGAATTACTAATATTTTGCATAGTATCATCTTATCTTGTAGTATAAATTTATCTCAAAATTTTGCACGCTTAAATTCTTTTTTAAAAATATTTATATAAAATACGTGTGGTCTTTGTATAAGTGACATGTATTCTCGAATAAGACGTAAAACATAATATGCACTCAATAATTCTTTATTCTTATGTCTACGTGAACCAAGTTTCTAGGGTATATAGTTTTTTCCCTGTCCATCCGTCCGTCTGTTTGTCCACAGAAACTTAAACCTTGTCCATTACTTTAAGATAGATGGGGCTTTGGCTTTGAATTCATATTTCACAGGTGTAGCTTGTCTTCGGGTTACTACCAAATTTGACCTCTTGACCTTGGACTTTGACCTGCTTTTACAAAAAATACAACACTTTAACCTTGGCTTACTTTTGAACAGTTGTAGCTAGGACGTTTAGGCCAACATTTTTTAATAAAATGGTTTACGGGAGCGCCGACTGCAATTTTAGCTAAAACCAAATAAAAATAAAAATCCCTGTTGTTGATTTTATTTTTAAATTTCCCGCCGATCGTCAATGCAAGTGCACCAAAAAAATAAAATTATGTGCAAATAAGTCGGCAATTCTGATTGGCTGTTGTGTTGAGAGCCTTTCTTATCATCCAATCAATTTACGTTTCTTATCAACTGTTTCGGAAGTGCATAAAACGTGCCAACATGGACGCAGAAATGTCAAATTTTACAGAAGTTGAGAATACGTCGTCCTTATACACGATAGTTCACGATCGTTTTTGCAAGTCATCCATAGCGAACAGGAAAATCAATAAGAGTACATCCAATGACGAAGTTAAGTTGGAGTTATAACGAAATTAAAGAAATGACTAGAGGATATGTTGACAGGACTGTCACTTTCGATGTGGGGTACAGTACAGTACAGTACAGTAGTTCTCTTTTACAATTTTGATACCTTTGATGGATTTGATACGTGAATGGAAATCGAAAATAGACGTTCGAATTTTTGTGAAGAACAAAATGTGACGTGTCTGCATGTATATCCATGAAACGTTTTCAAACGTGTGTAACATTTTCAAAAAAGATCATACACGTGTATACAGACTGGAAATTCGTATGAAGTATTTTGGTGTGTGTTAAACAGTTATAGAATAGATATATAAATACTGCAAACGATACGGTTTTCAAATTTGTCTATACTTTCAACTTTATCAAACTTTCAAAATTTTATTACATGTACATGCATAAAACATATGCTGTATTGTAAAAAACAGATTAAAATTATGATGCTGGGTTTTATTCGGATTCTCATTATAACAATATTTCCCATTTTTCATTTGTTAGTTAATTTGAACATAGTGAAGTTCTCATTTTTTGCAATCTTTTTTCTTTGGTCATCTTGTTGTCATAATGAGTATTTTTATAAGGAAATCCTTAGATTCCCCCATTTCTCCCAAGGGTTTAGTAGTGTACTTTAATATTTGTGTTGTTGTTATCATATTTCAAGCTCTACACCATATAAATGGCAATTTTTATCGAATTATTAAAAATAAAAAAATCACACACTTTTTTCAATTTTATTTTTATTTTTTTAGTCGACTGCATAGATTATGGAATTTTATTTTTATTTTTATTTATCCCCCCCGACCCAATTTTTTCAAAAAAATTCCCGTAAACCATTTAATAAAAAAATGTTGGCCTTATACTTCACACGTGTAATGATTGTGACAAGATCTTTCAATGGGTATGAATATTTTTTACTTGATCTTAGAGTTTGAAAAAAAATACCACAATTTAATATTGGCCATAGCTTTTAAATAGTTAGAGCTAGGGCTTTCATACTTAACATGTGTAATGTATTGTGAAAAGACATTTCAGCTGGTATAAATATTTTTGACCTAAGAATTTGACCCACTTTTTAAAAATTTGAAAAGTTAGAACAAGGGCTGTCACATTTCACAGGTGTATTCCTTGTACTAAGACCTTTCTTTGGATACCAGCACTTTTGACTTTGACCTTTGGACTGTGACATGCATTTGAGAAAAGTCAATCCTCGCCATGAGCTGCCATACGGGAGTATCAGTGTTTCACAAACACATCTTCTAAAATTAAGGTTGTGTAGCGGGGCGTGATGAGTGGTTTCCCGAGTACCAGTCTTGTATCTGGATCCACACGGAGAGTCTACCGTACGAGGAGGCAAAACAGAGATGTGAATCAGGAGGCAAAATGATGATGGAAGCACGAAATATAACCCAGATGCAGACTTTGATGAATCTTCTCGATTTAAGTAAGTTTTTATCCCTTGAAACATTTCTTAAGAATATTTTTCGAGATCAGTGGGTTTATTTTCAGGTTAAATACTGAAGAGACAATTTTATTATTCATTTCACTAATGGTATTATGTTTTCTAATAATAGAATGGATCCATGTACTTGCCTTCCTGATAAAAGATAATACATATGAATGGAATGACGGTTCTCTGGTCTCGCACGACTGGTGTCCTAATCAGCCAAGTGAAAACACGGGTTGTATTGGAGTAGATCTCACTAACTGGTGTCCTTCCGGAGGACTGGACGACTATCCGTGTACGGACGAAAGAACTTTCTTTTGTGTTTAAAATTTGTCTGAAAATCCAATTTCAGTATTAAACATTTAATGACCTATGAACAAAATTAAAAGTAACACATTGAAAAAGACTACTAAATGTCTAAGATCTTCTTGGGGCATTAGTTGTAATTTTTTGGTCCTCGTTTTGAAAGATTTTTGAAACGTCGGAAAATGATCGATGTTACCCAAATGTCGTTTACTGATTTTTATTTGAAAATTTGAATAAACACTAGTCGTGCACTTCTCATTTTCAAATAAAAATCGGTATTTAATTGACACAACTATTGAGTCTATACTTCAACTGCTTTCGGACCTTCACAGGAAGAAGGTGCAAATAGTACAATATTTTCGTGCAAACAATCAAGATAAGAACATGTACCATAAATTGGAAAGCTGTGAAATTTTATGTGAAAATAATCCACAAGTTTTTCTAATGAATTGTCATCGATTCTCCGTTCTTGACAAGGGGCAGTCGGCAGATATTATCAGTCGACAGGGTATGCTTACTCCTTCATGGCACCTAACCTGATCCCACCGTTACTTTATTAGAGATCCGTGTTTGCTGTGTCCCAAGACGTCTGAGCTTGACTACTGGTCGTTACTAGTTGACATTTGATTCAGGGCTTATGAGAAGAAGCGGAAAAAAATCTGTTGATGATGATATCCCATGTTTAAATACGTCATAAATCCTGTGAATATGCATTTTTGGTAAATTAGCATTGCAATTTCTAACTACAATCAAGGAGAACCAATAACACTTTAAAAGAACATTGGGGAAGTCAAACAATATAGTGGGTGTTGCTAAAACGCGGAACGGAAAACGGAACGGAAAGCGGAACGGAACGGAAAACGGAATATATTATTTTGGATTAAATCACTTAAAATACATAAATTTTATCATAAACGATATATCATGTACACATTCAATTCCCCAACTATTAAATACAAGTTTTGATTTTGTCATGCTCAGTCTCCTACTTACAAAAACTAGCTAACATAGCAGTCACATAGAATCGAATTTGAAAAGGGGGGGGGGGGGGGGGGTACACGAACTTGAAAAGTATTTGACAAGCAAACAACACAAAAAGTAGCTGCAGATCTGTAGCTCTCCGAAAAAAAATATTGATAGACCGGAGAGCTACAGTGCCACCCATTGAAAAAACTGTATATTTATTGCGCACAAAAAAATGCGCTCGGTTTTCGATTTATTTTTCCATGTTTTTAAAACTGCAATCTCAAAATATTACTAACCGTATGTTCCTAACACATTCTTTCAATGTTTCCAAAACCAAACATTCCTCATAATTGTTGTTAATAGTCAATCCTGATATTGTAGTCATCGAACATTTCGTTTATTTATACTGCCATTTTGGTTTCAAAGATAATTCGGCCCAATATGCTTCGTTCAGATGTCAACTACGAGAGTAACTGATAAAAGAGGGAGGAATTTTTTGGAATCTTCCCTTTTTTGCAGTTGAGGTAAGAATTTGGAAGAATTAATCAAGAACAGAGCGCATTTTTTTGTGCGCAATAAATATACAGTTTCTTCAATGGGTGGCACTGTAGCTCTCCGGTCTATCAATATTTTTTTTTTTTGGAGAGCTACAGATCTGCAGCTACACAAAAAGGAGACAATTGTTTGATTCGGGAGGGGAGATAAAACACAAAAAAAACAACAATTGTTTGATTCGGGAGGGGGGTAAGTTCCAACTCCCATCTTTCAGTACTATTTTTTTTACACTAACTTACAACATTTATCATATTTACAAAAAGGATGAGAATGTGAACTTGAACGAACATTTTCGTAGTAAAAAGGTTATGACTGGGCGGGGGGGGGGGGGATATTTGATATCTAAATGAACCATGGAAAGAGAAAAAAAAAATGTTTAAAAAATATTAAGATTACGTTGAGGGCAAACCTTTACGGCAAGCTCGAATAAACATCTCTTATACACACTGGTTGTTAAAATTTTATTCAAAATAGAGTCCTTTTTCTAGATAGACAAAGTTGTGGTAGATATAATGCAGAATGCAGAATCTTTGCATTTATTGAAGTTAAATTTTGTTTGTTTGCGGCACATATGTGTGCATGTTTGGGGGGGGGCGTATATGAATGACCCCATAAAAAATGAGTTTGTTTTCCCGCTCATCGGAAAGGTCTTAGAAGTTGTAATAGATCTGCCCCCCCCCTTTTGTGTCCAAACTGTACACAAGGTTTAATAAATCAATTTTTATGTGGCTGTGGGCCCCTACACAGACCCGAAACTGCCACCCCCCTTTCATGACTCGCGAATTCGACACTGCGTGCATAATCTGAATAGCGTAACTAGTTATACCCCCGCTCCGAAGGAGAGTGGGGTATACTGTTTTACCCTTGTGTGTCTGTCTGTCTGCGTGTCCGTGTGTCTGTCCGTAACGAATTTTCGTCACAGTTTTCTCAGCAACTACTTATTGTAGATGCTTGAAATTTTAACACAATCTTCTCTTAGTTATTCTATACGGTAGGATACATTTTTGGTTAAATTCGATCTCAACTTCCTGTTAATCTGTGTGTCTGTCCGTTTCATACATAACAATTTTTCGTTGCAGTTATCTCAGCAACTACTCATCACAGATGCATGAAATTTAAACACAATCTTCTCTGAGGCATGCCATAAGTTGGGATACATTTTTGTTCAAATCCAACTTCCTGTTTGTTTGTGCGTCTGTCCGTTTCATACATAACAAATTTTTGTCGCAGTTTTCTCAGCAACTACTCATCGCAGATGCTTGAAATTTTAACATAATCTTTTCTGGGGCATGCCATATGGTGGGATACATTTTTGTTTAAATCCAATCTCAACTTCCTGTTTGTCTGTGCGTCTGTCTGTTTCATATATAACAAATTTTCGTCACAGTTTTCTCAGCAACTACTCATCGCAGATGCTTGAAATTTTATTACAATCTTCCCTAAGGCATGCCATACTGTGGGATACATTTTTGTTTAAATCCAATGTCAACTTCCTGTTTGTCTGTGCGTCTGCCCGTTTCATACATAAAAACTTTTCGTCGCAGTTTTCTCATTAACTATTCATAGCAGATGCTTAATTTTAGTACACTCTTTGTTGAAGCATGTCATATGGAGGGATTAATTTTGATATGAATCTGATGTCAACTTCAAATTTATCTGTCTATCTGCCTGTAATTGAACTTGTGTATATTAACATGATAATGTTTATTTACATCAGAGCGGGGGTGTTACTAGTGAGCATTGGCTCACAGATTTCTTGTTATTTTTGTCTTTTCAGACATTGACATTGGAAACAAATTGAAAGAGGGGGTGGGGCCGTGGGGCTCAGAAAAAAAATTTCCAACATACAACAAATTTGACAAGCAAAAAAAAAATGGGGATATGTCCTCTGCCCAAACACGAAAATCCTATAATTTCGTGTGGGGGGGGGGGGTGATTTCTTTCAGTAGCATTTTTTCCACGGAGGGTGTGTATGACTCATGAATAATAGTTTACAATAAATTTTTATTAGAAATGACTTTAACAACAAGAATATTGCTCTTTCATCTGATTTATATTGAAACTATGTTATTTGTTTGACAAAAAAATTTCCGTTTTCCGTTCCGTTCCGCTTTCCGTTCCGTTTTCCGTTCCGCGTTTTAGCAACACCCCAATATAGTGGGCACAAGCCAGAGTTTTAGATGACACCATTTTACAGAAAGTGATGCTAGTAATTGATAGTACATATATTGCTTACGTCCCATACGAAAATTATACACTCATGTACTATTAGAGGCGTCCCCATGTAACGGCGAATGGTTTCAAATTTAGAATTTACGCACTCAGAGTCATTGCTTGAACGTGTCAACGCCTATCGTGACAAGGGGCTTCTGTTAAAAAATAAAGTCTCTTCGAAAGGACCCGCAACTTTCCTTTCAAAGACCCAGCACTTGACAAAGGAAGATTTGCTTACCATTTTTTATCGATATAGACATATATACAGTGTCCTGCCATAAGTGTTTCACGTTTTCATGACGTTGCAAATCTTAAGGTAAAATAAAGTTTACTTACAAAAATACCACTGAAGATGATACCTTGAAACTTTCAATACTTTGTAGCATGACCCTTGGCTTTTAGAACAGCCTGTATTCGTCTAGGTATGGTTCCGTAGAGACACTGTATATCGCCTGGAGTCAACGAATCCCAGATCCGCAACACAGCATTTACAAGTTCTTGTTTGGATTTAATCTGGTGTTGTTCTCGCCCAAGTCTGAATCTTATTATTCTCCAGACATTTTCTATTACATTAATATCAGGAGATTGCGATGGCCAGTCTAAACACGGAATATTATTGTCATTTTTCCAATTTTTTTTAGACCGTCCAGATATGCGACATGGGCATTTGTCATCTTGAAAAATCCAAGGAGAATTACCAAAACTTGCCATAAATGATTGTCCAATATATTTATATACTTCTCTGTATTTAAATTACCATTAATAGGTACCAACGCCAGAGTAGGAAATACAGCCCCAAAATGAGACGGTGATACGGACGCCGCCATTACGCACTGAACGCAGTCCTAAACACTCGGGCCCCCACTTTTCATCTGCTTTCCTCCAAACGTACACACGTTGATCAGACCCAAGAACAACTTGCATTTCATCAGAAAATATTATATTTTTCTACTGATTATCTACAGTCCAAATTCTATGGTTTTTACACCAGTTAATTCGTCTTTTTCTGTTGACAGCTGATATTGTGAGGGTTTTCGCTACTTTACGTCTTGTGTAACTAAACAAATGTAATTTTCTCTGGACAGACCGTTTAGAAACTGGAAGAGGAACAGAACGATTAAATTCTTCTGTTAAATCTCCTAAATTTTGCTTACGATCTCGAAGAACTAACCTTTTTAAAATCCGTTCGGACTGGACACTCATCTTTCTGGGTCGTCCGCTTCGTGGGCGATTTTCGATACTTTTCCGTGTTGCATAACGTTTCAAAAACTTTGATATGGTTGATCGATCGTATCCAGTTATTTGTGCTATTTCAACTTTTTTCCTACCCTCAATATCTAAACGTAGTATTTGTTGTTTTAGAGCGCTTGTTATTTTTCGGCGATTTGAAGCCATGTTTTGTTTACGTCTGCTACTGTTATAAAAATAGACCCGCGTATGCAGAGGAACTCCCGTATGATGCAGATAAGCTAAATATACTACTGTCTAAAATTAGTCGGGATTAACATCGTATTTACAAGAATGCAACTATGAAATATTTTTTCAATAAAAGCGGGAATAAAAATGTGAATCACTTATTGCACTGCACTATAGTTTCAGTCGCGGTCAAGGTTCGGAAACCAAGACCCTCCGATCAAAGGGGCGATCACTTTATTTGGTCAAACAGACTATTATGCCTAAAATGACAAATATTTGTAAGCTATGAGTACATAAACGAAGTTCGTGGAATTTCTTTATACAGGGTATTTTATTTATTTGTGTGATATTGGTTGAAAATTACAAATGAGAGTATATACACTTGTTGAATATTTTAAATAAAATAAAGTTTGAAATATGTATGAAAGAAACTCTATGTTTGGAAATGCGGGGGAGACCTTAACGCGTTTATTATCATTTAAATTCTTAATTCGTGAAATGAGAAAACTTCCCTATGTATGTGATATCAAAACGAAAATTATGTCATTATTACGATTAAGAAAACTTGGTTCGAGAGGATACTTAGCTTTTCTTGAGAAAAAAAAAATTGTGAAGAGGCCTGCATTTTGTAGAGTTACATATTCGTATCAGACATTAGGGTGAGATGCTTCTATAAGGTGACGTAACATACTCGTATCTAACTTGACGTTACGTCGAAGTCTCCCTCGGGTTTTACAACTATCGATTTTCAGAAAGCTCTTGTGACCTTATTAGTAATTGGAATGCGGTGAAATTTTCCAATATTGTTGCATTATGACTCTATATTATAAATATGCATATTGTTTTCTTTCATCAAATCGCAATAAAATTTTACAAAGAAATTCCACGAACTTTTGGATCAACCCTCGTAAAGTGTTATATTTATAATGTACATGTATGACATTTATAATCGATTGTCCTCTTTTCGAAATCTTCCAAAGTTAGAAACCGCTCTGTAACTACATCAAATCTAATTTTTTGCCCGTTATATAGTCGGGTTTTTTTCTCAATAAAGGAAGCAAATCGCTTTAATTTTATCCGTAATCTTTACCAAATAGATAAATAAAGGTCATTTGCTTTGATCTGAAAAGAAAACACTTCCTTTTTTCCTGAAACTGAAAGTCAATTAGAATGAGCTGTATCACTCAATGGTACGAAAAATATTATTTGATCGATTTTTTTTTCTTTCCTATGAAATATAGAATCTGAAAATCAAAGACCAAACATTAATTTTTATCTTGTAATTAAGTAAGAGTGATTTTATCAAATGTATTTTTCTATTTCTAGAGCTTGAAAACAATTAGTATTCAAATCATTTTACTTTTTTTGTCAATTTTCCCTCTAGCATATACAATTAGAGAGGGATTTAAAGTTATCTTTAAAGCTTAAGCCAATTATAACTTTTTGGCATTGGTCTTTCGATTCAAATTGAATTAACAAACGGACAGTGTGACAGTTTTGCTTTGGGAAGACTCGGCAGAGACTTTGAATTGTTCGAATAGCCTGCAGAAAGTTAAAAAGGTGACGATAAAAAAGATTTTGAAAGAGGAAAGACACATTCAATAGCGAGACTGCAGAGGGTTGTACTGTTTTACTCTTGTGTGTTTGTCCGCAACAAATTTTCTTCGCAGCAAACTACATGTACTCATTGCGTGTTATATGAACAGATTCATTTGTATACAAATTCAGTGTCAACTTCTTGTTTATCCGTGCGTCTGTCATTTCCAACTTTTCCGTTCTTTGTTTTCTCAGCAGCTACTCATAGCTGTAATTTTAGCACTCTTTGCCTATAGCTAGTCATGACATATGAGGGAGTCAATTTCAGTAAAAATCTGATGTCAACTTCTGGCTTTTTAAAGCAACTCTTTGCAGGTGCCTAAAATTTTATCAAACTCTGTCTAGACATTCAATGTGATGAGATTCATTTTATACGAATCCAATGTCAACTTCAACCCTTCATCCATGCGTCTGTCCGTTCCAAATGTCCGTCAGTTTTCTCAGCAACTAATCAAGGCAGATGTTTGAATGTTAAGCGCATTCTGTTTTGTCATTTCATATGATGGGATATATTCTCCTCAGAACGAGGATATTTCTAGTTGGCACTATCTCACACACTTCTTCACATATATATTTATGTGTGTTTTGATCCGAAAGCAAATAATGAAACGAAATGTTTCCCCTTAATAATCATCCAGAAAAAGATTATTTCCAAATTTTGAAGTTTCGTCTGATTTGGATTATAAGTATTTGACCTTAATTTTTTTAAAAGGAGAATCTTGACTTTTTGCACTAAAATTTGGTCTGTATGTAGATTTTTGACCACACATTTTTTTCCCTGAAGGAAATGTTAGAAATTTGCTGAATAGTTCAATTTTAATCTATGTCTTCATTCTTCATTTTCTAACAAAAACCTTGTATAATTCCCATTATGTCGAAATTTGCAGATGTAAATGAAACCCAGTTTCCTTACGTAGCCCTGATAGCACAATGGTATACGAAGGCTCTCTATGGCTCTGGGTGATGGAAATGTTTTCATTCAATCCTTGATTCGGGCCTTTGCTATTTTCCAAACAAAGGGCCCAGCCATTGGCTTTATTGGATGACCATGCCCCAAAACCATCAATTGAGAATACTTAGAGATACTTCGAATTAAATGATTTAATGTTTTAAAAACATGTATTTCATTTTAAATCCTTAAGATCGCCCTTCACACTGTTAGTTGCTATTGGACATTAAATCAGTATAAAGCAAAGTATTTTTATAATCTATTTTTTCCCTTTTTATTCATAAAATATTCACAAATCACAATCAAATGCGGCAAAAATTTTCTATCCAATTTTTCTTCAATCAATTAATATACATGTACAAAATTATACTATCAGAAAAAAATAATTCATGTTCCATTAAATAATTATTTAACAGGAAAAAATTGATTGTCACTCGAGGAAATAAAAAAGTGTATTTTTACCCTTTGCACCAATATAAATAAGTATAAATAAGTAATGAAGATTCAAAAGTAGGTACATGTAACACTATTTAAAAAACTCAACAACTTCTTAAAATGCAAATAACATGTATAAAATACCCATCAGCTATTTGAGAATCATTTTATTCGATTGGGGTAAATATTAGTGGCCAAACATCCTTTCTTGTTTTTGTCTTCAAGGGGTTTGTAAAATTATAGGGTTATAAGGGTGACCCATGAACATTAGTGTCTCAAACACAATGATGATTCCACAGTGACGTTTTGGTCAGAGAGTCTTTTGAAATTCGTATTTTCTGAAAATTTTGTTTAAAAAGTACACACTCATAACAGTCAACTGACAGCAAAAAATGCCGCATTCATAAAAAATAAAATGATGGCGCTTGTTAGAGGTTTCAGTTTTTCAAGACAATTAATACTGATTGATAAGTCACCATCGTAATCACAGAAAGACTAGTGTATAATTATGTACAAAAATTTAAAAATAACAAAATACATATAAATCCGTTTGTATAATGCATACAATTTAAACGTCAAAAGAAATATATTCTTTGATTAATAAAAAAAAACTTATCTGATCTAAATTGTCCAAATTCATAAAGAAAAAAAAACAACACAGTCATGGAAATACTGTCGGAATGATTCGTTCCTACCAAAAGCTTTAGTTAACCAAGTTTCGATTCTGACTATAGATAATTGGTGGAGGCAATGCAAGGTTATTTAAATAAATATGAAAAATAATACTTTTCTTTTCATTAAAAACAAATGCATTTTAAGAGGAAAGTAGACTTTAATTAACAAAACTGTGAAGTGATCTTTCAAAGAATGTTTGCTCGCCCTCTCTCGACTCAGCGTAAAATTATTGGATCGGTAGGTAAGTGGGAAAAATATTTTTTTCCCCAGAAAATAGAATATTATTATGATGACGGGGAAAAGAGGGAAAAAAAGATATATTGTCCTGGAATGTTAAAAACAAGTGTTGAGTTGGGTTATTATTAGTCAATCAGTCGGGAGAGGGCATCCAAACAAATTTATAACGATGGCCTTATCGTCTCTGTTTATAGAATTAAAAAACTCCAGAAACTGTTTGCAGTAGTTCATTAAATTATATCACAGTTAAAGATCACGACTACTCTCTATATAAAATATTATTAAATAATGGCATCACAGACATATTGTTTGGCCAAGCAGGGTTAAACTACGTAAGGTTTCTGATTTCATACTCTACTTGATTTGGTTCTTTCAGTCCATTTAGTGGAACCCTAGCAAGGTTTAAACGATAAACGGGGGGATCTATTTCTATGACAGGCGAATGCTGAACCCCTTGGCTTCGGAGTTCTTTGTCGTTTTCAGACAAGTATCTTTTACGTTGAGATTTCGGAGTAGGTTTTCTGGTCGGACTTCTATCGGAGAGGACTTCCGGCGACTTCGGTGACACTTGTCTGATATGTTGTCCATGTTCTTCTTGTTCTTCCTCGGTGTTCATTTCATCAAGTTTTTCTAACGGTTTACGCTTCTTTTCTTTTGTTGACTTCTTCCTCCGAACGGAGGGTTTAAAAATGTCTGTTCCAGCGTTTTCTACAGGAGACGTGATTGGCTCACAGGCGGTTACATCTAAATGTCTGTTGGACACTCTCTTTACACTAGGGCGTATTGGAGAGATGGATGTGATCACGGGATGGTCTTGATAGTCTGTGGTCATCAGTGATTCGTTTAAATTGAGTTGAGGATGTAGTGTCTGCATCTCGTTTGATTTCTTTTTGGCCCAGACTTTATCCTCGGTGGTTGCGTACTCCATATGAAGCGAGTGAATTTCGAGAAAATAGCGATCTTCGCATTTGATCTGTTTTGTAATTGGATCGGAACCCCTGATTCTCTTTTTGGTACCAGCACATGACAGAATATTTTGAAAGCAACAGAGACATATGATGTCCTCAATAAATAGAATAACTGATAGCTGTTGCACACGCCATTGTGGAAATTGTTCCTCTAAAACGAGCGAGCAAGTCTGTGACATCATGGCTATTAAAGCATTCAACATAAGCAGATATGTAAATATGGTAAAAAGTGCAAATATTGTTATTGCAGCCCAAGGAATACGCGCTGAATAGAGAACACTTATGTCCTCTATGCCGATTCCAAGCTTAAACATTGCCATCATCGTGCTTCCGTAAGAGGTAAAATCGCTTTGTGTCTCTTCCGATCCTCTAAAGACCATGTACATTCCGGCAGTGAACGAAAAAAGTCCGAAAAGTATGACCAGCCCAAAGCGGAAGAGATCACCAATAATTACACGCTTTATCATCTCTGTGAAAAAACTAAAGTGCTTTATCGGTGAGAGGAAAAATATGTTCAGCCACCAACCACACACTAATGCTATTATTAAAGGTATGTTGTCGTGCTGTGCTGTAATTGTCCAGAGGACATCCACTATCATCATTACCGCTAGTATCAGCATCGGAAAAATATATTCCAAATTGTGAAGTAAATAACCACGAATATTATTTTTCCGGACCTTGGCGCTTAGCAAACAGATTGCAATAAAACTGTAAAGAATTCCAACCGAAAACGATACCCATCGAAATCCATACACAAAACTTTCAGAATTAGTTGTTGTATTGCCGCCGCCAGTATTTGCTGTAGGAATGCTCAGTTCGACATTATACACGCTGTATACTGTTAACATGATCATGAAGGAATAATGAAAAATCATCCATAAAATGAAAAACCACTGGTAACTTTGCCATTTCATTTTGATAATATTTTTCACTGGTGCCAGTTCAATAATGCGATATGCGTCTTTGTTATCGTAGCCAAATTGAAAAAGCATTTCCAGTATGGATTCTGTTTCAGGGTAAGAGCAGCATTGTCCTGCGAAAGGTGCACATTGTGTCTCATTTGAATGTACAACAGTTTTTGCTATTCCATGAATGTGTTGTGGAACTGACTTTTTATACGAAACTGAAGAAGGATGGCGATTGGTTGAGGCCCGAATAATACTGACAGTATCTATTTCTGTGACGTCATATTCTTTGACATCGAACAGCCCATCGTTTGCACTGATGAAGCAGTATACATCCTTGATGTTTAAAATTTCTTCAAAGAGCTCCGTTACTCCATGCTTTGCTGCAAGTTGTAGCGGGGACATGTTGTCGTTATTTTTCAAAAACCAGACGAATGAATGCGGTTCTCGGTACATTTCTGTTCCAGAATAATCGTATGTACTTCTGTCTCGATCCCTCTCCTCTATCTTTTGATTGAGGTACCGAAGCATGTGCAGCATTGTCACCACCTTCTCCGGATAGGTTGCAGAATACTTTATCAGTGAATGAAACACTGTATCACCCTCCTCGTTTTGAATGAGAATATCAGCCCCATACTGCAGTAAGATATCAACAATATCGGCATTTCCCTTCAGAGCAGCTACCGTCAAAGGAAGCTGTCCCATCATAACAGTATTCACGAATCGAGATCCGGTTGCGCGCGTGTGCAACAAAGTTGCCATTTGAATGTCCTTAAATTGACCAACTTCGAGCATAACTTTAATAGCTTCAATGTTTCCTTTGGTAATGGCCATGTGAAGTGCTGTTTGACCACAGAACTCTAAGGATGATTCTCTTGCCATGAGCAACAAAGAGGGACATAACTCTGAAAGTTTCCTTACAAAGGATTCATCATCATGGTATTTTACCGCCAAATGGAGGAGAGTCTCGCCTTCATGGTTAGGATTATGATACATCTGTAGCCATTTGAGGTTCCCGATTTTATCCAGTGTATCGAGCATCACATACGCGTTTTCTAAATCTCCGTTGATAATTTCTTTACCTAATGCTTCAACAAATAGCAGCCTCTCATTACTGTTAATCATTCTTTTTGTGTGACTTCTTACGTGCTTAACACGTTCCATGGCGTGTTTTGTATTTTTCTGAGGCTGACAAGTCAATTTTCCTATAGAAGAAACAATATGAATTGTGTAAGAAAATGAAAGGTTGATTTGCATAGTAAACTTTCAATTGTGAGAATTTACAGAAAGATTTCATTATTTTCAATTTCAAACGCCGCCGAAACTTGGCTGAAAAATTGCCGACTCGGCGTATAAGAATATACAATCAATCAATCAATTTTAAACAGTATTGAGAATGTTTAAGAAAACTCGTTAAGGTCATACGCAACGTAGTTTGAACTTTATTGGGCTCTTCTCTGGAGTTGAAGAGTTCCACTATATTAAGGAACTGTGTGTAATACTTTTAATGTCTATATATGGATTTGTACACCTCTTCTATAACAAATTTTGATGGAAAAAATCTGGAAATTATGTTTTGTAATTTTTGTAGATTTTTCTTTGAATAATGCAAAATTTTTCATAATTTGATATCTTCCAAAAAACCCTGGTAATGCACGCTGATTTTTTGTGTATGAGCATCTGATGGCACTACAATCTTTATTTAAGAATATCTTGAAAAACTATCAGTAGATAAGGTACGTTGCGTATGTCCTTAATAAGAAAAATGTATTTGGTAACCTATTAAATAATCTATAATTTTGAAAAATTAATGTGCACAATGTACAATCATTACGTCTTAAACAGTTAACTATCAATAGCACGGACATTTCACACAATAATTTCAACATAAATATATACCTTTTTCCATAACGGTATTTGTTTTCCTACTTAAGCAGTTGTTATGAAATGCAATATTTAAACAAGCTTGTTAATATTACCATTTCTAAAGACAATTGTTCGGAGTTACACATTTGAGTGTCTTGACAAGGACAAAGGAACAAAACATTAAATACCCCTCCGTGTAGCAGTTTAAATAAATACGGACTGTATATGTTCAAATTAGTGAAAAATGATCACGGTTTGCTCATCAAAGTAAACATTCATTTTCGACTAAATACATGTATCTGTGTATGTTTTTTTAAAATTCTAACCCAACTATTGATAACCTGTACCGATATGTCTTCAGAAATTTGTGTGTCAGTAATTACAGATATCCTTTTTTCCACAATTTAAAGAGTAAAGACACTAAAGCCTTGCGAAATTTAATTTATACTAAATTTTGAGCCTCTATGATTAAGAATTGGAAATTAAAAATCATTGTCCATTACTCATTGGACTTTCCGGGAGAAACAGTCATTATTATATGTATCTATCGTAATATATACAAGTACTTACATTTCCAATGAATTGCAGAACAGATTTTTTAAAAAAATGCATTACTACCATTATATAAACAATTTTTAATAAGATTAGTAGCTTGAATTTCGACTACACTCTTCTAGACAGCAGCCAAAACTTTTTAACTTATTCAATAGTCCTGGCGAAATTTACTTGGACATTTATATGTTTAAAGAACGATAACTCAATTTAAATGCCCTTGACGGTGATATTTAGATCCGAGATTTGTCCGAATACTTGGCCTCAGTGAATCAGTTTTGGCACAGATCCTATTCTTTGTTAAAGAAGGTTGTTTGAATAAGATGAAATATCATGAAAAGGACAAAGACATTCGTATCGACGGAAATTGGTTAAACTTATTCTTACAATTTCTCACGAGCACATTTTCATTCTACAAGTATATGGTATTCATTTTTGTTTGAAACATACAACTTAAGAGGGAAAATCTTCAAGTAGATAACAAAGCGTTTTTGAAGTATGCATGCATAAGATTTGTTAAGAAAGAATTATTTCCTGTAACTAAAAAAGTACCAAAATCCTTATATAAGAAATTCGACATCATTAAAAAAGAATGTAAATCATACCCTTCGTTGTATTTTTGTTTTCCTGGATCCGTCCCTGGTTTTGACTCAGTTGCTTGGATCCGGAAAATTTGTAAAGCTCATCCTGAAAATACATCTTCAACTTTCAAAACATCAGAAAAATAATGATTGTAAAAAATTACTCCATGTGCATTTTAAATTAGTGATTAGAAACAATTTTTTTTAAAGGATTACTTTAATCCAAACTGATCTCTTTTTAAAAGGTGTAAGTTGGCAATACCTCAATCCGGGGACGTCTATTTCTTTATTGATTTAGTGTTTCGATCAATTATTTAATGCAGCACTCTGCAAAGAAGGCAAAACAAATTGCATTAGAAGCGAAAGTAAGGTGCAATTTGTATTAACACTAACAAGCTTGGTCCTCAAACACAATTCGATTTGTAATCTATACAGTGTTATAATTTATGTAATTGACATTCATTGTTGTAATTTTTAAAAGTATTTCAGATATAATGATTTGAGAATCCGATGTTATTAAATGTATTGTGCAATTTGTCTCAATTAAGCCGACTGGGAGATTTTTAAAGAAAATCAATGCTTCGTAAAACAAATGTGTATTGACTTTAGCACAAAGAATTCTGAGAATAACTATTTCCAATTCTTTCACAGGACAAAAGACAAAGAATCTAAATAATACAAAATTTAGAACATTTGCTTGAATTCCATATTCCCTCAATTTTTGATTTTTTTAAAATCATACCTGGCACTGATAAGAAAATACAAAAGTACTTGCCTACTGGGAAATGCGTAGAATTTTTTCGACCATATTAAATGTCTAATTTCTTTGTTTACGTGACCCACGTGCTCCTCGAATCAGCTGGCCTGGGGATTTAAATTTGTAAGTTCACATATAAATATCCCATACACGTCATACGTGTCCTTCTGAGGTGTCCAACAGAACTCGTACTACAATGCTAATTTCCTGATACCCAGTCAACATGGGATTGACCTTTTCTGAGTCACGTCCACTTCTGTTCCACATGTAAATTCCAGCCGGTTTTTCTAACTCCAATCATCAATAAAATTAAGACTGAGGAAAATTCTTTTCTCCCTGTTTTGTTATTTTTTTTTTTATTAATTATTTTGCAAGCCTTCACAATGAGCACGATCTACTGCAGATTTGGTGAAATGCGATAAAGGTGCTGGTTTACCTAGCAATTCATTGATTTTCTGATCAAGGCAGTTTGATCGTATTTATCCATTGATTACAAGGTGTACACAAGGCCGTAGTACACTTGATCAAAGGCCAGGAGCTGTGCTATTTACCTTTGAACTTCTTATGTTATTGATGCAAAAGATAAATATTTGATAATCTTTTTTGATTTGAATTTCTGCATACCGGGCAGTTATTCCATGCATGCAGTTAATATTCACCTACAGTGTACAAAATCAATAACTTCTTTTATATCTTTATGCATATTAAAAAAATCTTCGTTTTTATCATTAAATGTTTGGCTGCATAAAAAACTGACATAGAAAAAGCGTTGATGATTAATGTAAATTTCATGTAAAAAATAAAAACAAGAGATGCGAATATATCTTGTTTTGATATATGCTTAAAATTTGTTTGGCTGCATTTAAATTTGATTTATTCAGCTTTAAACTGTTTTAGAAAAAGGGCAAATAATAATTGGATTTTTTCTCTAATAATGTCCATATTTTACTTTCTTGTAAAATGAAATATAATTATACAGAAACAGAAACAAGAGATTTTTGTAAATCACAGGCATAAATGCCCCCTCTCCCAAATAATTGGAATTTTTCTAATTCCAATGGGCCTAACTCTATCCAAAATGGCTTGATTGTGCCCAAAACAGAACTGACCTAGATTAATTTATAATAAATCTGTAAATCAAATTTAATTTCTATATATTCCTCTTCTGCAAAGAAAATGAAATCGGAAACTGCAAATAATTGGAATTTCCAAAATCCAGAGGGGCATAACTGCCATGTAGAAAATTTGTTAAAAAACTCAAGTACCCGCTATTTAATGAAAACACGCCCTCCGGCGTAGCAACAGTCATCATTGACGAATGTATGCGTACAAGGCTACTGTAATACATATCTGTATAAACATTCAGTATAAATGACAAATTTTGCATGTAGTTGAGTGTATTACATTGAAATTTTCATACCATCAAAAAACCATTGTCAACCTTGGCTGTGCTAATCAGTTCACAATCTTGAGATATTTTCAATGGTACATTTAACTACATTTAAAATCTAACAATTCAAGTCTAATAATTATAAATTTAATAATATCTAATTAATAGTTATCAAAAATAAGTTTAACGTAATAAAAAAATCTCAATATTTAGGATATTATGTACATTGAAATTTCATAAACCTAATTTTTATCCCTTTTCGGACTGCTACAAATGCATTTCGTTTCAGAAGAATAGGAATTTAGATTAAGGCGAATTTACATGATAATTATAAATAATAATCGATTTGGATATGTATAATGGTTTGAACATATTTTATTGTATAAATACTATACAAATGGTTTGAACACAAGTTCTAACAACTTACTAGGTTCTCACCATACAACTGTCAATATATATACATAGGGAAAATAAGTGAAAAGGAATATTGATGTACAAACAAGTTTGTTAAATTGAAACATACATTTGTTACATAATTATGATAAATATATAATTATATAGATATATAGAGTGTAAGTGTTAGGCAGTAATAGTTAATTAAATCTACCAGAATCTCTTATAAATTTATGAACTGACTGAAAAATATATTTATTGATTTCTACATTTTGTGACTCATCTCCCCACAGAAGTAAATGACAATCAATAATGTTCAATTTGATATTTGGTTTCGTAAGACACAGTAAATCTCTGAATAGCTTTTCTCTAGCATATTGGTACTTATTGCAGACAAAGAAAAAATGATATGGGTCTTCTGGTGTACCACATGAACAGTTAGGACTCTCGATAATGTTTCTTCTATAAAGATCATAATTTAAAATGCAATTGTGTCGTAGTTTAGTATGTATGATATTAAGTCGTCTATTACCATGGGAGAAATAAGAAGGGGGGTCTGCTGGTTTTTTATGTATGTTATTTTTAAAGCTGCTAAAAGATATGCTGTTTCTAGTGGTGATACTCAGACTATTCCATTGGTTTATTGTATCAGGAACAAAAGATTTCTTGAATATTTCAAGTCTACATCTAGGAATAGTGTAGTCCTCTCTATTGCGTGTATCGTACTTTGATTCATTACGTCTTGTTGCGGGAAAAATACTTTTTAAATAATCGGGTACTAAGTTGTGATGTACCTTGTACATAGTATTAAGTTTTGCTACTTTTCGCCTATCTGCAAGAGGTTCCCATCCTGTTTCTAAATATAATGCATCTCTTGAAGCGATAATTGGTAACCCTGTAATAATTCTTGCAGCATAACGCTGTACCATTTCTAATCGTTCAACATCTTGTAAAGAACACCCGTCCCAAACTATAGAACAATATTCAAGTAGCGGTCTAATGAATGTTATGTACATTTTAGATAAAGTTTTTCTACCGATATTGTATTTCAGCTTTTTTAAAAGACCTAGTCTTTGGTAAGCCTGTTTAACTATATTGTCTATATGATCAGACCAATTAAGATTTTGGCTCAAAAGTAAACCCAAATGCTTATGAGAGGTTATGTATTCTAGATTACATCGTTGAAATTGTAATTTTGGGAGATAATAATTGGATTTTAATGTAAAGAATAATGCTTTCGTTTTAGATGGGTTAAATTTCATAAGCCATTTGGAAGACCACTTGTCAAGAATATCTAAATCATGATTTAAAGTATATTCAATAGTTGCAACATTATAAGAGGAACTTTGCAACGAGTTGTCATCTGCAAACAATCTACACAATGAAATCATGTTTTCTGATACATCATTCACATAAATCAAAAAAAGTAAAGGACCAAGAACAGATCCTTGTGGTACACCAGCGTTAATGTTTCTGTTAGACGAAAAAATATCTTTGTACATAACTTTCTGTCTTCTATTACATAGATAACTCTCTATCCAGGTAAGAATATTTCCACATAATCCATAAGTTTTTAATTTAAAAAGTAAACCCTTATGCCATACTCTGTCGAAAGCCTTAGACAGATCACAAAATACCATGCAACAAAATTTTCCTTCGTCGATATTCTTAATTATAGTGTGATAAGTTTCAAGTAGTTGGTAAACGGTTGAGTGACCTGGCAAAAAGCCTGCTTGAAATTTGTAGAATAAATTATTCTGATGAAAGTAATTGTACACATGTTTAAAAACAATTCGTTCCATAATTTTGCTAACACAGCTCAACAATGATACCGGTCTATAATTAGTAGCTACTGAAGGATCTTCTTTTTTAAACAACGGTAGTACATGAGCGATTTTCCATTTATCTGGAAATATATTTTCTGCCAGCGACTTATTAAATAACCAGCATAGCGGTTTAGACACAGAATTAATAGTAGATTTTAACATCTTGTGGCTTATTGCATCAGGACCTATTGCTTTATTGACAGGGAGTATTGATATTATATCGACAATTTCTTGCTCAGTAATTACTATATCACTTAGTGTGTCATTGCATAGGTAATACTGTGGTGGTAATTGTTTGTTAGAGTCATCAACATTGGATATAGAAGAAAAATACTTATTTAACACATCGACTTTATCATCATCTGAGAAAGCTATATTTTCTTCTCCGCTATCAGAAATGTATTGTATGGGTGGAATATCTTTGTTTGGTTTTACATGAAAAGCATCTCTTAGCATTTTCCAGTATAATTTAGTATTATTCACGCTCGCTTCAGATAGCTGAAGGTCCATGTTGTCATAATAATTCGATAGCGCATATTTTTTCATGTTATTGACTTGATTTCTGATTTTTCGATATTCAGCCTTATCCGATTCTTTCTTCGTTTTTCTTGCTATTTTATGTAATCTGTTGCGTATTCTAATATTTTTCCTGAGTACTGAGTCAAACCAAGGTTTATCTTTCGGACGAATTGTGACCGACTTTTCTGGAACACATTTTCGTACAGACGATAGGAAATGAGCAGTAAAGTTTTCCGTAGCAGTGTCAACATCTTGGACGTTATTTATTAAGCTGTCCCAATCGCAATCTTGAATTAAGGAATTGAGTTTTTCAAAATCTGCTTCTTTATATAGCCATACATTTCGCTTATACGCATGATTAATTTTGTAGTTCATGGTGAGACACACATAAGTCGCCCTGTGGTCGCTAAGATTTGCGCTTACATTTAAAGTTCCTGACTCTGTAACGTCAATGCTTTGTGTTGTAAATATTGGGTCAATAAGTGTTCG